TGCCGAGCAGGGAGCCCGATGCAGGACTCGATCCAGGGACTCCAGGATCATGACCTGAGCCGAAAGCAGTCGCTTAACCAACTGAGCCACCCAGGAGCCCTCCAATGATAACTTTTTAATCAGAATGCTTAGGAAACATTACTCACATATTATGGGTGAGCGAAGCTGAATACATTCTTTCAGAGTAAGAACAGAACCCAAACAGTCTATATTCAACCTTTGATTGGCTGTCCCTAGAATGTGAACTCCTTGAGAGTGGGGACCTGGTCTCTCTTGTTGACAGAGGTATCCCCTGTGACTGAAACAGTGTCTGGCATACAAGAGGTGCTCAATGAATGCTTTCTGAATGAATGAATGAGTTTTCCACTCGGGATCCTTTTGTGACTAGAAGCTTTTATAATTTAATGTCAATTCCCAGAGCTACTCTAATTTCTCTTGGTTCCGCACTCTTTGATTATAGCTCCTGGAGATTCACATTCTGTATTTACTGCAAAACCAACAATTGCTTATTTGAATGACAACACTTATCCAACAGACTGTGCAGCATCTAACAGAAAGGCTTTAGTTGGCAGAATTTCCTTTGTCCTAGCCCCGTGGTGTGACGCCTTGGAGTGCCCCATCGGGTCCTCTGCCTCTCACCTCTTTTCCACACCACGTGCGCTTTCCGAAGCTTCATTATGAAGAGCTGGACGATGATGAAGAGTATGAAGATGAGGAAGGACACAAGGGTGAGCAGTAGAATGCCATTTTTCCTCCTTATCACCCCCACATACTGAAGACTGGCTTCTGTACGGAAAATGAAATGAATTTAGACAGTTCAAGGTTGGTTTGTTTTTGTCACTGAGGAATTTGCACAATGCTTTCAAAATGTAGTTCGACTGATAGGCAACTCGGATAAAAAGACAGAGAGCTTTACCCTGAAGGGAAAGAGATTCATATTATTTATTCTCTGAAAACAAGCCAACAGGCACACAAACAAAGCAATTCTGTGAGGTGATTTGAAAAATGCTCTGAAGTTACATAGATATGGAAGCTGTGAGGTTTCATTTGCAGAGAAAACATGCAAGAATATTGACTTAAATTATAGTCAGGGGACTTAAATGAGCTGTAAGGACTGATTTTTTAGCAAGGTGTAGTTAAGCAGCAAGAGGTTGTTAAGGAGTGTGAAAAACTATGCAAATAAAATGAAATCCACGAATGTTGGCTAGGTTAAATGTGGTCCTACGTGAAGGCCATTGGACATAAACTAGGTGAGGTCTTTAAGATCTTTCTAAACCTCACATTCTGATTCTGTGGGCTCTAGTTTTGCCCAGACATCCTGGCCCCCTCTCAACCAACAAGCAGTTAAGGAGCACCAGCTTTGTGTAGAACATTGTGCTTGGAGCTGCATAAGGCATGGTCCCTGTGCTTTAAGGGGTAGTTCTCTCTCTATGGAAATAAATACATGAATCAACAGAAGTCAGAAATCGATGCAAAATTCTAGATCCATATGTGTTAACACCATAATGTGCTCAGAGATTCAGAGGCAGGAGTGGTCCCTGAGTTAGTCAGGAAGTTCTCAGTGAAGACCTTGGCCTTGAAAGAAGGGTAAGGAGAGGGAAGATGAGGCCTTTCCTTTCTTCAGGGGCAGTTCAGGTTGTTGAGGGAAGGGCAGTCAAAATGGGATGATGATGTCAGAGAAAAATGTGTGTTCTTCCTGGGACTTTAGAGAGGACTGCAGAGGCAGGGGATGGAGGGCCCTTGTTGGAGGCTTTGAGGCTCCTGCTCCGCGTGGTAGATGCGGGGAGTCACGGATGTTTTCTGAACACAGGTGTGAAGAATGCAAAGGGGTGTTTTGATCATAGTCCTAAAAATGGACCACAGAGGAGAAACTGAAGTCACAGGACTTGTGCAAGAGATGATGAGGGTCTGGACCAGGGATTGCAGTGATAGTCGACAAAATTCTGGAAGAGGAGACTCAAAAGTCTTTGGAGATGGACTGATTTTCTATGTGTTTGTGTGTACACACATACACAGGAATGAAGGATGACGCCAAAATTTGGGGCCTGTGTGATCATTTGGATGAGGTGATTTTGTGGGAAAAGGTGCTGTTTGGTTTTTAGTGATGTTGAGTTCAAGGAGATGGCAGAAAATCCAGCAACAGGGATGTAGGAGATGGAATGAAACAGCAATTAATTCTCAGGCATGTTCTGGAAGTGTAAGTATGGAAATCTTCTGCCTAGTGGCAATAGGAACAACCCTGGGAATGGGTAAACTCTTCAAGAATTAAGGGAAGAATCAAGGATGGAGAAGTAAAGTCAGAAATGTATCCACATATAAGAATCCAGAGGAAGAAGGGAAGTTCTCTGATGGACACAGAGAAAGAGTGGTTGGCAAAAAGTCACAGAACCAGGCAGAGTATTTCAAGGAAGCCAGGGAGACAACTAAGTCAAGGAACAAGGGAATGATTAACCAATAGAAAGGTCAAGAAAAATGGGGACTGAAAAAGACCATTGGATTTATTGATTAAGAGGTTAAAATGTCAAGTGTTTATTCTAAATGCTGAGGGGGATGCTTACCAGTGGCCAAGTCAGGGTCTTGAGTGGTTTGTTCTTTCTCTTCCTTGTCACTCTTGGTTGTACTAGAATCTTCCATTACTGCAACTAAGTTGAAAGAAATTAAGACATGATATATACATATGACTGTATATGAATAGTGTGTATATATACACAGCTATCTCAAAGCAGCAAAGTAGCTTTGGAAACCAAACTACGTTGTCCTCCTTAAAAAAAAAAAAAAGACCATTTTTGAACCACTGACTTCTTCCGGAAATAGTTGCAAATGGCTCATTTCACCAGGCTCATTTCGCCTTATTTTTAAAAGGTAGATGTTTACGGAACACCAGCTCTGGGCTCAGCCCCAAACAGAGCATTCGGTAGGTTTCTCACTGCAGCTCTGAATAGAGGCTTCTAGAAGCTAGGTATGTTGTCTGAAGTCACAGACCTAATACGTGACAGAGCCAATGCTGAAATTCAGAATGCAAAGTGTACACCACTATTTTATACTTGCTTCCTGAATCAGGCCTATTAGAAGGTCTTCAGAATGGTGCAAGATAACACCAGGGCATGGAAGATTGGCATCCCAAGCCTTGTGGAAAGAAAACCTAACAGCCTGAGAAGCAATGATTTTTATGTTGAAAAATAGGCTCCCTTGTCATTCAAACCTCTGCTTGCCTCTCCCCCTTAGAACGGGCATATACTGTGATGCTTTTGCTAGGTGCGAGAAGTCGTAAAAATGAAAGATCGCGTTTTCTGATTCCGTTGCTCATCCTCCCTATTCCTGTCCGCCCCCCCCCCCCCCCCGTCTCTTGCTTTTTAGCCCATTACACAGCGCCACTGTGTGGATCCCGCAGGGAATGAAACCACCCGTTCTGCTGGAAATGGGTATTATTAACAGTAATAAAATCGTAGAAATTGAAAGCTGAAAGGAAATTTAGAAACCGTATTAAATCTTATCTATGAAAAAGCAGAGCAGAAAATTGGGTTGTTTAGTGGAGCTGTAAGCCAATTTAAAGACAAGTAGATTCTAAACACGCTTAAAAATATTGAATTATTAAAGCAAGTGATACGGCTGTGCCCCTTCAGATCATTTTCAGTTTCCATTGCCCTTCAAAAAACTGGATGGTACAAATTGTTTTTATCGGTGTTTAAAAGCCCCAAACATTTACTTTTAAGTGTTATTCCAGATAAAAAAAAATTTTAAGAACGTGATCTGATACTCAGAGCTATGAACATGATAATGGTATGAAAGCTCTTATTCTACTCAAGGAAATTCCTGTAGACACACTATTTGAAACAAAAAAAGAGGACCTATAGGAGTTTATGCCCTTTTTGGATGAAGCTCTCTTGCTCGAAACACCATAACAAATGAAAGTATTCATACGTGTATTTATTCATTTATACTGCATTTTTTTTAAGGTTTTATTTTTTATTTATTTGAGAGAGAGAGAGAGCACAAGAGTGGAGGAGGGTCAGAGGGAGAAGCAGACTCCCTGCTGAGCAGGGAGCCTGATGTGGGACTCGATCCCAGGACTCGATCCCGGCACTCTGGGATCATGACCCGAGCTGAAGGCAGTTGCTTAACCAACTGAGCCACCCCGGCGCCCCTATACTGCATTTTCTGAGTACCTACTAGTGTCAGATACTATACCAGGTAAAATACAAAGATAAATACATGAGCATTGCCCAGAGCTAATCATCCAGTGGGTTCACTGTCTGAAAAACTGGAATTATAATCCAGGCTTTGTAATTCTGCATTTAGAGTTCAATCCTGTCATCAAAAACTATCTGAGTTCTTGACAGCCAAGTAACTGATGTGCTTTCAAAGGTGATTTTGTTATTCAATGGCAAAAATCCCCACATCTCCAGATCCTGCTTCTTTGCCCTTTGCTGAAACCAAGTCTTTATTTTGTGTTTGGTCTGTTCCGGGTGAGAAAACAAAGAAACGAGTCTCTCCATAAATGAATTCAACCTTGCCCTTTACTGCAGAGGAAATTCAAATGTCACAGTCGTGTGTGCACGTGTGTGTATCAAGCAAAATAGCGCTGAACTTACAAGGTATTAGTTACCCCGAAGCCCATCCCACTAAGGGAACATGGCTGGTATGGAGCTCCTCCAGGACAGCAGTAAGCTAGAGCCCGTGCAGGGCATCCTGCATTGTCTTATTAAAAGTTAAAATTTCAGTGGCTCAGTCAGTTAAGCGTCCAACTCTTGGTTTCAGCTCAGGTCATGATCTCAGGGTCCTGGGATGGAGCCCTGCGTCAGCCTCCATGGTGGGTGAGGAGCCTGCTTGAGATTCTCTCTCTCTACCTCTCCTTCTGCCCTCCACTCCCTACCTCTCTCTCTCCCTCACTTAAAAAAAAAAAAAAAAGGTAAAATTAAAAAAAAAAATCTTAGAAATGAGAATTGGAAAAATGGCCCTTTCCAAGGCCCCTTTTTTTTTTTTTTTTTTTAAGATTTGAAAGGAACTGTAAGAACCAAGCGGGGGCCAACTCAGTATTAACATAGGAGTTGGAAGGAGCCTCCTCGGGTCAAGTCTGGCAGAAGAAAATCAGCCTATGGGCTCAAGGTCTTCAGCAGGCATGTGAAGTCTTCCCCACTGTTTGGCTGGAACTTCTGTCT